CGTGTCTGGTTCAGCATCTGCGCCACCATTATCCTCATCAACATCACCACCATCAGCAGCATGATCATCAACACCTGCCACTGCACTGGTTGTGCTGTGTGCAGACACCACATCCTGTCGCTGCAGACGTGCCCGTGTGGAGCTCGTGTCCTCTGCGCCATTCATGCTGGTTGTGGTTGTCGTGGTCTGGCGTGCTGTGCCCGCCCCCGACGCGCTGTCATCATCGCTGTTGTTGTGGTCACCATGGCCGTTCTCACTGCTCCCACCCCGCTGCGACTGCAGGTGCTCGTGTGCGTCGTCTGTGCTCGAGCTTGTCCCGAGTGCAGGCGACAGCGGCACAGCGGCGCCGAGATCGTCCCCGTCTCTCTTGTCCCCACGGCCGTGCGCGACATCACCCTGGTCATCGGTGCTCACAGACGTCGTCACGTTCTTCACCACAACACCGCTCGTGCGCTGTTGCTGCTGGTGCTGCTGGTGCTGGTGCTGCTGCTCTTTGTCGTCTGCCGCATCTGCGCCCTGCGCTTGGTGCTGGCATTCGTGGTGCCCGTGCCCGTGCTCGTGCCCGTGTCGGTGCTTGTGGCGAGCGCTGTGTCGTTGCCAGAAGCGGACTTGCTCTTGCACGCTCACCATGTTGCTCGTGTCGTCGTTGGCGCTGCAGTGCTGCCCGTCTGTGCACGCGTCGCTGGGCTGTGGTGGGACCGTCGCGATGATCGCCGCCGCCTTGTTATGCTCCTGGTGCTGCTGTGTCTGTTGACCACTTGTGGCTGTTGCTGGTGCTGTTGCTGGTGCTGTTGTTGATGCTTCACGCTGCAGCTCTTTGATCACCCGTCTCGGCACAGGGATGGCACCAACTCCTATGTGCGTGAGTGTGAATGTGTGCGTGAGTGTGTGTGTGTGTGTGAGTGTGAGTGTGAGTGAGTGAGTGAGTGAGTGAGTGAGTGAGTGAGTGAGTGAGTGAGTGAGTGTGTGAGTGAGTGAGTGTGTGTGTCTGTGTGTGTGTGTGTGTGTGTGTGTGTGCGCGCGCGCGCGTGTGGAACGGGGAGATGAAAAAAATGACAAGTTGACACAACCGGCAACGTCATGAAAAACAAACGCATTCAGCGAAGCACAAAAGCAGATCGCAGGGCTACGCCAAGCACGCACAGGCAGCCAGCAGGTGTAATACATGCCAAGCAACAAGCAAGCCAAGCCAAGCCAAGCCAAGTAACAAGGAAGACGGCCTTGTGTCCGAGAAAGGAAAGCGGACACCCATGGTGATGGGTCGGGTTCAAAAAGCAGGACACACCACCACACAAGAGGAGCAGGAAAATCAACCAATCACATCACACCAAAAAAAAAAACCACGGACAAAAAAATTTGAATTCCAAAAGAGGAAACCGGAACGCGAGGGAGTGATGACTCATCACCGTGTCACGGTTTTTGGAATGTGTCCGGGCAAGCGGACGAACAACAAGAAGGTAGTCACAGCAGTGTACTGATGTGAACCACACGGACAGTGACAGTGGCAGTGACAGTGAGCTCACCTTCTGTCATGGGGCTGCTGCGGCGCAGGGAGTGCAGCTGCACAACAGGCAGCTGGCGACGGCGCGGGCCAGCAACACCGCCGCCACCGCCACTTTCCCTGCTTTTCTTCGGAGCCTGCTTGCCTTGATTCGCTCGCTGCAACCACTGCCAACGTGTGTGAGGTTGTGTGTGAGTTTGATTGTGTGTGTGAGGTTGTGTGTGAGGTTGATTGTGTGTGTGTGAGGTTGTGTGCGTGTGTGTGTGAGTGTAAGTTTGTGCATGTGTAAGGATTTATGTAGGGTTGTTTGCGGTTGTGCGTGTGTGTGTGTGTGTGCAGCTTGGGTGAGCCCAGGTTCATATCAAATTTGAGCGTCACCAACCTGTTCCGAAGCGTCTGGTGCTGACGCCGCAGCCTTGTCACCGTTCCCGCCATCAACGCCACCTTCGCCACTGCCTCCCGTCTGTGGCATCTGCGCTGCCTCGCCCCCAATCACACGTTTCGCTACCTCCCCGTGCTGCCCCTGCTTTGCTTGCTGTGTGCTTGCCTGCAAGCGCTGGATTCGCTCCGCGACCGTTTCCTGCCACGCGGATGTGTGCGTGTGAATGTGCGTATGAACATGTGTTGTGTATGAAAATATGTGTGTGTGCGTAGGTGCATGTGTGTATGTGTGTGCATGCTTGCGTGTGTATGCTAGTGTGCGCGCATTTTCATGTGTCCGATGTTGGATGTGCACACGCCAGCAAGCGGTGCACGTGCAAGCATTCCCCCCACCTTGCATGCTGCCTGTATGGAGGGCCTGGACGCAAACGCCGGCCGCGCTCCACCAGGCGCCGCTGGCAACCGCCGCCCGCGCGAGCGACCACCAGCACCACCAGCGCTGCTGCTACTGCTGCTACTTCTTGATGCTCTGCTGCTCTGTTGCAATTGTCGTTGTTGCTGCTGTTGTTGCTGTTGTTGTGGGTTACGGGTACGGATTGGATTCGTGGCACTGGCGCCATCCTGCTGGTCATCAGGCAGCACATACCGCCTCTCAGGCAGCTGTGGTGGTATTGCTGCACCACCACCACCATCACCATCACCACCATCGTCACTACCACGGGACTGCTTGGTTGGCTGCTGCTGCAGGCTGATACTGCCATCGCTCCGCACCACAAAAGGGGTGGCATAAATGGGCTCCTCACCATCCATTCCATCATCATCATCATCGTCGTCATCATCATCATCGTCTTCGTCATCCGTGCTGAAGTACATGTCTGCCATCTCTGCCAGCCTTGCTTCAAACTCCAGCGGGTGCATGCGGCTTGTCTCTGGCTCGTCGCTCACATCCTCGTAGCCATCTGCATCCATCCGGCGACCCCCCACCGCGCGTGTACCCCTGTTGCCACCAGGTGCATGCCCCTTTGGCCTACTGCTGTCGTCTTTGCGCTGCCTGTGGTCAACTGACCCTGTCCTCGCATCGTCGTCACCGCCATCACTGCTCAGTCCACCACCATCGCCACCATCATCACTCGAGTCCACTTCCTCTGCCAGCATGGATAATCGGGGCAGCGGCATGCGTGGTCGTCGTTGTCCACCGCCACCATCACGGTTGTGAGCAGCGTGACCACGGCTGGCCCCAGTGCCAGCGCGATCACCATTGTTATCGTCACCACCGCCGTTTGCACCTCCACGATTCCGCACCTTCACCCGCGCGTATCCCGCCTCATCATCTTCACCATCATCATCACCATCACCATCATCATCATCGCCATCACTGTCGTCGATTTCCTCGAGCGAGGTGTCGAGTACGTCTGTGGCCAGCGTGTACGTGTGCTCCTCGTTCTCAACAAACGTACTGAAGCAGATGGCATCAAACGCTTGCGCCTCTGTACACGCAGGTGGTCGTCCATGTGCACGTGTGTGTGTGTGTTGATTGTGTGTCTGGGAGTGAATGTGCGTGGGTTCCAGTTCAGACGCATTGTGCTTCATTCACACACAAACACGTTTACACACACACACACATACACACACACACACACACACACGCATTCACACACACACACACACACACACACACACACACACACACACACACACACACGCATTCACACGCCCGACCTTGCTCCTCAATGTCTGGGTCGTGTACGGCGTCGAGGGCGTTGGCGGCGGTGAGTCCAGACACGTCTTGCAGCCACTCCACCCACGCCTTGCACGCCTGTACCGTCTCGCAGTACCTGGTGGAAGGTCATGGCGGTTGGGGGGGGGGGAAGGGGGTTGCACTTGAGGTTAGCGAGGAAGGGCAAGCAAGGGACAGGCAGGCAGCCAGACTGACAGAGAGACAGAGAGCAGACAGACAGACACGTATTACATCACACACAAACACAAGCACACACACAGACACAAACACACACGTACACACACACACACACACACACACAAACACACGTACAAACACACACAAACAGGCACTGACATGAAGTAGATTCGCGACGGAAACACAATGGCGAGTCTGCGTTCTGGCGGGACATCTGCCGGCCAGCGCGTGTCCACAGTCATGTCGGACCCGTATTCCACTGCAACGCACGCGGTGATGAGCAGATGCTTCTTCGGGGCAACATGGGACCCGGGCGCCCAGGCCTGGTCGTAGTAGCGCAACACACCGCTGTTGTGCAGCACAAAGAACCTGGAGCGAGGTGGAGATGTGGTGAGGCCAAGGCGTGATGTGGTGGGTATTGGCGTGTTGTATGTATGTGTGTGTTGTATGTGTGTGTTGTGTGTGTGTTGTATGTGTGTGTGTGTGGGCAGGTTGGTAAACACAGGCAGATACAAGCACGCAGACACAGACACACGTGCGCATGAGGCGTACCGGCGCTGCCAGGCCCTGAGCCCTGTGCCGCGGAGCTTGTGCATGAATCCCGCGTAGACGATGCTTGAGCCCTTGAACACATGTTGGAACTGCTGCGCCTCGTGGATGAAATTGTGCAGCTCCCGCGCAGCCATCAAGTCCTCCATGTTCTCGTACTCGCTCTAACGAGGGAGGGGGGGGGGGACGGACGGACACATGCAACGAGGGGGGAGGCACACATGCAACGAGGGGGGGAGGCACACATACAACGAGGGGGGGGGGAGGGAGTGTGTGTTTGTGTATGAGTGAGTGCGCGTGTGTGCATGCGTGCATGTGTGTTGTGTGGAACTCCGCCAGCATGCTTTCGCAATGTGCTTCGGAGAGGGTTGTGCCTGCAGCAGGAAAAATGGAAGCATCATCAAATCAACATCGTGTGACACCACAGCTTACCTCTTGCATGTGTCCTTGCTGAACTCCCAAGTGCTCCATGGCACGATCAGACATACGCACGTGCGCGTCTGTGCGCGCTGCTATTGCCCGGGCGAGCTTGGCTGCTTCCGTGAACTGCGCATGATTGTTGTGATGTGGGCAACACGCAAGCATGAGAGCAACACAGGCGCCAAGAGAGCGTGTGGGGAGGGGGATGAGTTCAACTGGACGTGTGTGCTGACTGGCTGGTGGACTGACGAGCAGGGAGGTGTAGAGCGACTGAAAAAATACACACAAACATGTACATGGACGCGAACATGCACACACACAGACACAGATACACACACAGACACAGACACAGACACAGACACACACACACAGAGACACACACACACAGACAGACACCCACGAAACGGCGTACGTTGTTTGTGGTGCTGAGGACGGCGGTGCGCGACGGGGTGACGATGTGGACTGTGTCACCATCGAGCTCGATGGAACGCGTCTCCGTGAGGTTGAGGATGGCTTTGGAGGGCCGTTTGTGCTGCGCCTCCTCGTAGGATTCGTACAGCCGCAGCTGCGCATGCTCGCCCTGCACGCAGTCATACAGCAGCAGCGGCAGGAGGGGGAGGGAGGGGTGAGGGCATAGAAGTAGAGGGTGAGGGGCAGGTGGGAACGAAAAACAGCGTTGGAGAACCAACGTTTACAACATCATCGACCAACAACGCCAGACAGACACAAAGACACACACACACACACACACACACACACACACACACACACACACACACACACACACACACAGAGCAGCACCCACACCAAGATGGCGTAGTATGGGGTGCGTTTCGTCTGGAAGCGGGATGTGGTGACGAGGTCGACGTAGCCGGCAAAGTGGGGGTGCTCGTGCTCCCCAACACCGCGCTGCATGTCCGCAGACTTGATGATGGACGCAACTTTCGGCGTCACGCTGTCGCTCTCTTGCACCTGCTCGCCATCGTCTGAATGTTTGTGTGTGTGTGCGTGTGCGTGCGTGTGTGTTTGTGTGTGTATGTGTGTGTGTGCGCGTGTGTGTGCGCGTGTGCGTGTGTGTATGTGTGTAAGAAATCAACCACTGTTTGGTAATGCGTGCAGTGCAGGTGCAACATGGGATGAAAATCGCTGCAGTTTGCAATGCTCGTCTCAGCACCGACCACCTTGTCTCATCTCCACCGTTGTGGCGGTCGCACCTCGCATGCGCTGCATGGCGCGAAGCACGGCGGCCCGCGTCTCTCGTCGCGCCCACTCCGCACTCGCTTCCTCCACAATCTCGGCCCAATGCTGTTGCACAACGGGTGTAGGGAAATGGATGAGCGGAGACAGCGATTGGCGCGAATCACACATGCGACACAGAAACGTTGAGCACAGCCACTCACACATGCCCACACATGAGCACACCTGTGCTTCGCTCTCGGAAGAAATGTGCAGCTGCCATGTTTGCTCGGGTGTTTCGATGAAGAGCTGATTCCCCTTCAAAAACACTGCGCGGAGGTGCTGCAGAGATATTTGACCTGCAAAACACAGACAGTGTGTTGTGTGCGCGTGTATATGCATGTGTGTGTGTGTGTGTGTGTGAGCGTCAGTTTTGTTTTTCATCATTGTGAGACACTGCAGCCAGGCAATGCCAGCGGCCTTCATTTGTGTACGTCACGTACGCTACTCGCAGTCTCTCGTGCCCTTTTGTGTGTGTGTGTGTGTGTGTGTGTGTGTGTGTGTGTGTGTGTGTGTGTGTGTGTGTGTGTGTGTGTGTGTGTGTGTGTGTGTGTGTGTGTGTGTGTGTGTGTGCCATGAGATCCCTGACCAGTGGCGCCGCAGAGGTTCCCATTCCGGTCGACCTTCGAGTAGAAGGTGATGAGGTTGTCCTCCAGCGTCAAGTGGAGCGTGGCATTCGTGCCATCGCCAGCCACCTGCGTTGCCTTCAGCACCTGCCTCATGCGTGTGCGTGTGTGCGTGTGTGTGCGTGTGTGTGTGAGTGTGTGAGTGTGTGAGTGTGTGAGTGTGTGAGTGTGTGGTCTCTGTCGCACGTGCTTGTGCCAGCGTCAACTTTCCACAATCACTATCACACATCACACACACACACACACACACACGCACACACACACACACAATCACACACACACATCGTCGTACAGAGGACATGGTCGTGGTCGTGCCGCGGCGCAAACGACAACAACAGCTTGGAAATGCAAACAGCACCACGCAAAAACGCCCAAACAAAATCGCTGAGTCAGCAATTTCCGACTGCGTTGTCGGTCCGCCAACGTTTTGAACGGCTGTGGCTGTTGTGGTTGCTGCTTGTCTGCTTGTCTGCTTGTCTGCTTGTCTGCTTCGCTCGCTCGCTGCCGCTGTTCGTGTCTCGCACTTCCCCTCCCCACTTACCGCAGTTGCAGCCATGGCTTCGCGGCAGCGAAGGGACATGCGGTGGGAGCTGCAGCAGTGCTTGGCTTCCTACATGCGATACTTACTTAAAGCAAGGTTGGTTGAATGGTCGAAGGAAGAGGGAAGACCGAAGAGAAAGCTGCATTGATGACTTGCCACGCACAAGTGTGTTGGTTGGTCACAAGTCTCACCAGCCAGGGCATCTCAAACAGACACACACACAGACGGACGGACAGACAGACACACAGACAGACACACAGACACACAGACACACACAGACACACACACACACACACAGACACACACAGACACACACAGACACACACACACACACACACAGGTAGACACTCCCACACTCCCACTCCCACACACATACACACACACGCTCGCACGCACGCACATATTAACACACACAGACATACACACACTCACACCGACACTCACACTCGCACTCACACTTACTACACACGCGTTACCCACAGACACAGTCGAGACCGAGGCATATCGCTGTGCAGAGCACTCACTCATTTGTCATTGCTATCAATGGAATGGCCCATCCGCGCCCCAGATGACCTGACCTGCGTTCCAGGCTTGGGATCAACCTGTGAGTCATGTCAAGGTGTCAAGATGTCATACTGTACACAAGATACACGCACACGGCTGTGTTCTTGGCACTTTGGTGTGGCAGCTTGCGAGCCGACAAAACACGCTCTTGCGTCGCTGCTGCCTACCTTCTTGTTCTTTCCTCTTTGCTACTTGTCAAAACCGCGACTGTCCTTTTCCATGTTGCGCCCCACACGTTTGCACTCCCAACATATACACACCCACACACACACACACACTCACGCACAATCCCACCCCCTTTCATACACACACACACCCACACATACACACACTCACACACACACACACACACACGCACGCACACGCACAAACGACAGGGGTATCTGTGGCCAAGGGTCAGCTGAAGAAGCGCAAGTACAAGCCGCCTTCAAGTGACGACAAGCCGTTTGTGCTGGCGGCTCCAGCAATGCTGGTTGCGCTGTTGGAGGCGCAGGAGGAAGGGATTGCAGGGACAGATGAAGACGCCAACTACATTGTCGAAGGTGCGATTGCATCAAGGACTCGCACTTGCACTGCCTCTGCTACACAGCCAAATGTATACTTGGTTGATCGAGCAAAGCACAGCTGATCTAATGTGCAACAAATGTACATACGACACACACACACACACACATACATCCATGCATATGCTCCTGCGTGCACGTTTGTGTGTCGACAGGGGACACAGTGCTGGTGCCCGTCAAAGAGATTGTGCGACGCGCAGCACCGTTGTGCGACGAGCACATGCCAGATCTCACGCAACTGCCGAACATTACGCAACTCCCAGCCAAGGTGCCCGGAAAGCTGCAATGGACTGCGTGTGTTGCGGTTGCCGTATGGCACTACATGTCTGTATGTATGTCTGTGTGCATGTGGGCATGTGTGCATGTGTGCGTGTGTGCGTGTGTGCATGTGAGTGTTCTGTCTTACACGTCAACTCATCTCCATTGCACCTGCATGTGTGTGTGTGCATGTGTGCAGCGTGCAAAGCGGAGTGATCCGACCCAAGACGATGCGTTGCTCACAGCATCCACGGTACAGTCCTCCCCTTGTCTCAGATTGTGACTGTCGCCCCTGTCATAAAGGGAGTGATAGTAATCTTCAATGCGTTGACTCTAGCTCACCCTCTAGTTTCCATTCAAATGCAGTCACACAAACACATTTATACATACATACGCATACACAACCGCTCTGCGTTCACGTTCGCACATTCGCACGTGCACATTCACACATTCACTCCTTCCAGGCGCTGCGGCGGCTGGACAATCTCGTGTCGATGGGATATGTGAAGCGACGGCAGCGGCGCAGCCAACCCGTGTATCACTTGACGGAGCTTGGAATGCGGGGTACGCGCGTGCTCAACGCAAAGGGTGTCTACACCACGCAATTGCTCGGGTAACCAGCTGTGCTGTGGAAAGTGACGATGAGTGATTGAGTGATTGATGGTGATTGAGTGATTGATGGTGATTGAGTGTTTGATGGTGATTGAGTGTTTGAAATTGAGTGATTGATGGTGGTGATAATTGTGCGAACAGAATATCTGATGATCGGTGCCACACAAGAGCGTCTCTCTCTCTCTCTGTTCTGCAAATTGGGCAGCTCTGTACACGCGAATCAAGTACGATTCCCATCTCATTTCGTGCCTCAATCCGCCTGATCTCGTTCTGATAACACCTCCATTAGCGCCACGGCCTTACGCGAGAAACTCAGACATCTTCGCACACGCACTGCGGGCCAGTCCTCCATCGTGTCGCCCCACTCAACCGCAGCTTCCGCCGCCACCACCACGTCCGACCGCACATCCACTCCTGGCGACACCGCAAGCACCCCCGTCCACTCATCTGCCCACCGTTCAATCCCGCCGTCACGCCAGCCCCGAGGCCACCTCCACGGCAACGACACGCCCCAGCGGCGCCCTGCCGTTGTGCTGCTGGTCGACTCGCGCGAGGGCGGTGGGCGGTACCACCTGCTGAAGGAGATGTGCGCAGCGCTGGATCGCACCGGCGTCACGTTTAGAACGGAGGCACTGGCACTCGGCGACTACGGGTAGGGCGGTGGTGGAGGGGAGAGAGGGGTGAAGGGGATAGAGCAAAGAGGATTGTCTCGACATGCCATGGTGTGACAGCGTTGTTTCAATTTATGTGTCGTTTGTCTCACAAACATGTCGTGTCACCACACACACACACACACACACACAATTTGCCTGCTGTGCCTTGTGCTGTCGCTGTTGACTGCGTGCACCCCGTGCGTGCGCGGTGCAGGTGGAAGTACCGTGGGCAAGATGGCGGCGAGTCGATGCTGCCTGTCCTTGTGGAGCGAAAACGCTTGGACGACCTCAGTGACAGTCTCGTTGACGGCCGATTCGTGTCGCAGTGCACCCGTATGATGCAATCGCGTGATGCCTTTCCAAGGTAAGAGAGAGAGAGAGAGGGGGGGGGGAGAGATTGCAATGAAGCCAAGGTATGAGGAGTTGGGTCAGGGGGACTTGGCGTGTCTGCTGTTGCAAATCGTGGCATGTCAAGCACTCATCTCCAAATGCTTGCTGGCACTCGCATGTCAACGTATTCACACACACACACACACACACACACACACACACACACACACACAAACAACAAAATACACACAACACACATACATACACAGCACACAACTCCATTACATTGTGGAGGGGACGTACAGTGGATTTCGTGTCGGCACGTGCTGTGCGCGCGGGTGCATCAGCAAACATGGCCAGGCAACCGAGTCCGAAATCGAAGCGAAACTGCAAGAGTTGCGCGACGAGAAGGTACGTTGGCATTGACTGTGTGTGACTTGGTGTGACTGTTTGGACGCAGGCATTGTACACATACAAGCGGATGAGCGAGTGTGTGCATGTGAGTATTTGTGCGCGCGCGCGTGTGTGTGTGCGTACGCGTGCGTGCGTGTGTGTACGTGCGTGTGATGTTTCAAAGTTGCTGAAATGCACTATCCGTACCAGCACATTCACCAGCAGCAACGCATATATCTGCCGCGCGTGCTTGACTGCAGTTTACGGTGCACCGCACAACGTCATTCCTGGAGACTGTGCACGTGCTGGCCACGCTCCACACGCAGCTCGTGTCAGAGCACATACCGCCGATGGCAGCAGCAGAATCAGCTACAGGGACAGTGCAGAGAGACACGGCAGCAGCAACACAAACAGAAGCAAGCACAAACAAAGGCACAGCAAGGCAAACAGAGGAAACGAGAACTGGAAGGACAACGGCCAGCGCGCTGCAATTACAGGGGATTACCAGCGCCCACAACGCATACAACGAACCAGTCGTGATTGACCTGACTGATGATGATGGTGGTGATGATGACAACAGTTTTCGCTTTGGTGATAACAATGACGATGATGATGATGATGATGATGATGGGTGGGGCGATGAAAGTGTAATGGAAGCAGTTGCAGCGGAGAGCAGCGTTGTTGGAGTGAATGACTCGTTGTCTTATGTCCATCACGATGCACGAGAACACCATCGTGATGACAATTGGCACAACGACAGCGTCAATGCTTATGCGAATGATGATGCTGATGATGATGATGCTGATGATGATGATGATGATGATGATGATGATTTGGTCGTGCTGGAAGAAGTGCAGACCTCTCACAGCCACGACATCTTCGCACAGTTTGGAAGTACGCGAAAGCTCTCATAGTGTACGATTGTGTGTGTGTGTGTGTGATTGTGCGTGCGTCGTGACATTCATCGTTGGAAGCAACGTGGTTGCGATAAGAAGTGCTTGGCGATTACTTGACGAAACGCTGTACTTGATGAGTTGGTTTGCGGTTTAATGGAGCCCTTCGTACACGATAAACGAGCACAACTGTCAGCTATGTGCCAGTCCTTTGTACAAATCGACAATACACCCGTCCCAAATTCAACTTGCAAACGACCAAACGACCAAACGAACAAACAAACAAACAAACCAAACAAACGAAACAACAGACAAGAGTGTCTGCTTAGGCAAACTTGACACGCTGGACGCCAAAGCAAACAAGCTGCTTTGTCATGAATGGCGGTGGCCTTCGCTCCTCCTCTTTGTCTTCAGCCACCTCATCCTGTGAACCAAAGCAAACGACAGCCGCATGCACACAGGTTAGCATTCACGCAGCAGCCAGCATCACGCGTATCATAACCACGGACGATGTCGCTCTCTCATGCAACGCAGTGCACACACACACACCTATACACACGCACGCACGCACCCAAACACCCCCCCCCCCCCCACACACACATACACACACGCACACGCGCACACGCGCACACACGCACACGCACACACGCACACCCACACACACGCACACACAACACACCTTTGTTGGGGTCTTCTTTCCCTTCGGCGTCTTTGCTGTTTTTCGACCATTCTCGCGCTTTCCCTTTGAGGAAGGGCCGGCGGATGCGGACGCCGGGTCCTCCACTGTCGCAAACGCGGCATCGTCACGCTGAAGGCAAGCAGGTGCAGGCCGCACGTGAGTGGTGGTGGGAACTGCGTACGTGCGCGTGCCTCGACGAACTATTCACAGATACCCCCCCACCAATGTGGCACAGCCCCATCACAATCAACACCGCTACTTCTCACAACGGCGTTCACATCCACTGCCTCTCTATGCTCCTCCTCGTCTTCCTTGCCCCTCTCTTCAACAGAGGTACGTTGGCTCGGTTCATCACCATCACCATTACCGCCATCACCACCATGCGCCTGCTGCTTGCGGGTCTCACCGTGGCGATGTCAGCGGCCGTGGAATCCTTCAGTTGTGTCAGGGTCGACTCAAGACTGCAACAACGGGTTTCAGTTCAAGGGCAGAGGCAGCATCAGCATGTCAGTTCACAATGGCTGGCGCACACGATATCATGGATAGCAAAGCACGAAGGCAAACCCATGCAGGCACATAAACACAAACACTGAAATGTCAATCGCACGTACAGTACAGCACATGCAACACGCATGTTGTGCTGACCTTCTGCTTCGCGTGGGGAGGGCGGTGTTGTTTGCGCATGCGAGGATACAGCCGACGCCTGAGAGTGTGGCGTGGTGCAGCCGCTCCGTAAAGTGCACATCGCACATGTCCTGATGATGGATGGATGGAGAGAAGGCGGAGGCGTAAACACAACGATGGTGGTGATGTGGTGACGATAAGAGCACGTTGACAAGCAGTTCAGGAAATGAGCGGGCTCGAGGAGGAGAGTTGGGAGGAGCACACGAAGATGGCCTTGATGCTTACAACGACACACAGGCACACACAGACACACACAGACACACACACACACACAGACACACACAGACACACACACACACACAAAAGGACATACCCACACACACACACACACACACACACACACACACACACACACACACACACACACACACACAGAGGCATATACACACACAATGTACACAAAGCCCACACCTGGTCGAAGCTGAACATGAGCGCGGGTGACAGCGCTTCCTGGTGGAGAAGAAGAGGAAGTGGAACACGACACGGCGCTCCCACACGAATCACATTCGCACACTCTCCCAGCAGGTGTAGACAGCCTGCAGTGCACGCGCGCGTGTTTGTGTGCGAAGGCACGCATTGGCGTGAATGAATGAGTCGTGGATGAATGTGCATCAAGCGTGTGATTGGGAAGCATGTGTGGTTGCTTGTACGTGCATGTGTGCGCATGTCAGACAACTTCTTTGATGTGAGCAAAAAAACCAGCGGGGCTATTGCGTCACACGCATGATGATGCGAGCACACACGCACGCACGCAAGCAAACATTGAAGACAGGCTGCATCACCTGGCGCCTCGTGTGGAGCAGTGATTTCTGCCACGGGCCACGTCGCCTTGCTAGCAACCTCTTTCGACACGCGTCCAAGCATGGCTCGAAGCGCGTCGCAATCTACGTCAACATTCAAAGGGCAGACCATGCATAGTGATGAGTTGGGGAAAAGCTGCAACGAGTCTGTGCACAGCTGTGTTGAATGCGCGCTGTGAGCGCACATGAGCGCACACGTTAGCCGTTTGTTGACTGGCTGCGAGCCAGATACAACCAATCGAGACAGGTGCGGTCAATAATCGATACCGCCATCACAATCTGTGCCATGAATAGATATACATACCGTCTTGTGAAAGACCACTCCTGGACAGCAGCGTGCCCGTTGCTGCGGCGTTTGTCGTCAGTTCACGCGAATCGCTCGCGTTCCCGCCCTCCTGCGCACACGCACACATACACATAGGCGCGCACAAACACACATAAGCACACGCGCACACATCGAGTGAGTGAAGCAGCAAAGAGAAAGAGGACGAAGGGTGCAGAGGTGCAAGCATGAAAGTCAACTACGCGCACATGTATGCCTGCAGGCACCCACCTGGTCAAAGAAGCCATGTCTGCCGATGAAGAGGGAGAACGACAAATCACGCGAGACTCGCTGCAGTTGATGATGACGACCAAGTTTTGGTGAGCGGCAGTGCAGATGTACAAATGGTGGCGGAGTGTATGTATGTGTGTGCGTGTGCGTGTGCGTGTATGTGTGTGTGTGTGCGTGTATGTGTTCGTGGCGTGTGGTGAATGGCGTGGATTTTCGGGCAAGTCCAGGCATGACAAGGCATGCACGTGCGCATCTTATGATGGCGCCAGCAATGATCACACACAGGTGATGCAAAATCACCTCGCTTGAATGGAGGTACTGAAGTGGGAAGGCAACGTGCACGCCCACAGAAGCACACAACAGCAGGCCCTGGGGCAGCGAACAAAGGCGAATCAAGGGGAACACGTCGGCCAGCAGTGAGCACACAGCCAGCGCGCAATTAATGTCTGCCGCGTACACTCCGGGCACGACATTCACCCCCAGCAGCAGCAGCAGCAGCAGCAGCAACAACAACAACAACAACAACAACAACAACAACAACAACAACAACAACAACAACAACAACAACAACAACAACAACAACAACAACAACAACAACAACAACAACAACAACAACAACAACAACAACAACAACAACAACAACACGTGTGGCAACATGTGACCCCCTTTTCTCACCTGTGTAGCCGCAGCTTTTCCCTGCAAGTCCTGCAGACACGAGAGTACGGGTTGCCACAGGCGCCTTGCCATGCGAATGGCGCACTCAAATGCATTCAACACGCCGTCTACATCGTCAACCGCTTGCTGTCCGAAGCGAGACACGAGCTGTTCCCTTGCGGACAGCGGTTGTGTCGTTGTGGCTGCCTCGGGTCCCGTTTCGACGCCTGTGTTCTGATTTGTTGCGTCCTCATTGTCCCCTCGCTCCGCCTCGGTAGCACCATCACCACTGCCATCCACCGCCTTCACATCGCCGCTGCTGCTGTTGCTGGTATTGCTGCTGTTCTTGTCCTTGGCTGTGTTGTCCTCGTTTTGCCGCTGTGCCCAGAGCGTCGCTGCGATAAACTCAAATGCATCCGATGACATCATTGCCCCGTGCAATCGAGAGGATAGGCTCCGCACGTTTACCGCAGACTTAAGGATTTCGTCAGCTGCATGACCCATGTCCACCACGCGAGCAGTGTCCAGGTTGCCCTTGTGCACAATGGCGCACGTGGCACGGCCGTCTTCAGTTCGTGCGTAGGTATGCGTGTGTCGTGTGTGTGTGTCACGAGTATGTCGTGAGTGTGCATGTGAGAGGATGGTCGTGTGTGATGCTGCCGAACAATTCAAATCACAAACAAGAAAGAGGGGGGGGGGAGAAACACTCGAAGCATAAAAGCACACACACACACACACACACACACACACACACACACACACACACACACACACACACACACACACACACACACGCAAACACCCCCCCCTACCCACACCCACGCACCGCTGTGTGTTGTGATGGCAATGACATCCTGTGACGCCAGTCGAGGCACCTGCTCCATAAACGCCGGCGAAACAACGGCCGCTTCAAGCCCGCGCACACTCCTGGATGTGGTGTGCATGCGCGTGTGCGTGAGGGGATGGGATAGACGTTGCGTTGCGGACGTATGCATGTGCGTGTGTGTGTGTGGTTGATTGAATGCAAGATGTCTCCAGCTAATCAGTCAACAAACGCTGCTTGCATCCGAACCTGACGAGCTGATGTGAGAGAGGATTCACACGCGCGCTCCACAGCACCTGCACACGAAGATGCAAAATGGGGACAAGCGTGAGACATAGTGTACACCGGAGCACAAGGCAGCATGAAAGCAACACACACGACAGACAAGCAGACACACACACACAGACAAACAGACAGACAGACACACACACACACACACACACACAGACACACACACACACAGACACACACAGACACACACACATACGCACGGGTGCCTGTGGATGTGTGCATGCGCATAGCTGGCGAAGAAGCATGCCGGTGAGGGTTGGTGTGGGCGTGTTGGCGTGACCGCGAGCAAGCGTGTGCATCAGCTCGATGCACGCGGTAAATGCCTGCAGGCAACAGCGTGTGCATTGTTGAGGGGCGAATGCACTGACAGAACGTGCACAGGAGCATCAAACCCAAACACCAACCCAAGTTAACACCATTCCACCACCAGCTTGCAAACTAGACAGGGGACGTGTTCGGGTGTGCAGTGAATTCCACGAAGCATCAGTGGTTGCTCACCTGGTGGTACAGAACGAATTTGCAGCGCAGCTCAGGGGACGCCGACGAGCGAATGCCACGAACACATGCGGACTGCAGCTGTCATGGCACACGCATAGCAAACAAGATGGCGACAGGCATTGTGGAGAGGTGGTGTTGGGGTCATTTTTTCTTGACAATGGCGCGCCCAGTAACTAACACACACACACACACACACACACACACACACGCCACCCTCGCACACACACACACACACGCGCGCGCGCGCGCGCGCGTCCGTCAAGGCAATGCCGTACCAGTGGATAGAGCCAGGTCTCGTTTGGTGCGAGCTCCAATGTCTGCTGCACCGTTGACAGTGCCTGCTCTGCCAAGTCGTCCACTTGCTGCTGCACATCCTCCTCATCACCATCGTCACCATCATCATCAGCACCACCGTTGTGATCATCAGCTTTCGCGTCACCGCGGCCGTCATTGCCGGTTGTGGTGTTGCCGTCACCGCTATCGCTGTTTGCGTGTGCGCCGCCTGGTTGCGAGGGGCGACCAGCGTGTGTGCTATGTGCGGAGTCAAGCCGACGTGCACTCGTTCTTCGGCTGTAGTGTCCGCTCTCAACGCGCGCATCGGCTGCTGCATCTTCATCTTGGTTGCCATCATCGCCACGACTGCCACTGACCGCTCGCTGCTGCTGCTGCTGCTGTTGGTGGCGTGCTTCGTCAACTGTTCCACCAGTGGCACCATCGCCGCGTGTGTGTTGGCCGCTCGTCTTCACAGGTGACATGCGCTGTGCCGAGGCGGCGAGTGCAATCGCTGTCCGGGCCGTCATCTCGCAGCGAAGCGTTCGCAGGAGCCGCCGGCACTCCACGGCTGCATCCTCCACACTGGACAGGAACGACGAAGCCTCCACCATGAACGTGTCGCTGCACACTGTCAGTGCGTCTCTGAACTGCAGCAGCTCTTCAGGCCAGTCCTCCTCCTCGCTGTTCAGATAGCGCATGATCATCGCCGCTTCCTTCCCATCACCGCCTCCCTCGCGGTCCTTACTGGTGGCGGCGTTGAGCTCCGGTCGCTGCATGACGCAATGTGCCGTGTGCAGATCTGCGCGGACGCGCAAGTTGACGATGCTTGCGTCATGTTCGGTCACGGTGCGCTGGCGGGCGTGGGCGGAGGTCAGCGATGGTTCACAAAGCTCCCCCACCAACGCATTGGCGGCGTCGTGGCAGCTGCTGCCCATGGCCTCCACTTGGTCGAGTGTGGCCAACGTGTCAAGGACAGTCTTGGCGCCAACAACAAACTCGGGCGACTTTGTCCACCGCGTGCAAAAGTACGGAATGCTGCAGCGTGTGATGTGTGTGTGTGTGTGTGTGCGTGCGTGTGTGTGTGCGTGCGTGCGTGCGTGCGTGTGTGTGTGTGTGTGTGATGAGAGATGCAGCATGGGGTTGGTGCAAGTACAGCATGATGAGTGCGGTGGTGTACGTGTGTTTGCATGTGGTGGGTTGTACGTGTGTTGTGTGTTCATTGTACATGTCGGTGTGTGTGTGTGCACGTGTGTGTGTGTGTGCATGTAGATCAGTGTGACTCACTGCTCGTGGTCAACAGCGGTCCAGAGAATGCGCGCATGACGGAGCCGCAAATCGCGACACATCGCTGGCCACTGGAACTGGTGGTGAGGGTGGCAGTCATAGTGGCAGTGGTGCCAGTGGTGAGGGTGATACGGCATGCTAGCGAGCATGCACAACGTACATTGGAGGGAAAGCAGAGATCATGTACAGTCGCAGAACACAACCAACCAACCAACCAAACACACCAACCACACCAGACACACCAGACACAAAGCATACACGCACACGCAAACCTGAATGGCGTTGCTGAGAGTGGTGATAGTGGCTGCCACAGATGCAAGGTCTTGTTTGGCGTTGAGGGCAAGCATGCAATCGCTCGCCAGCATGGCGCACATAAATCTCGCACGTGTGTGGCGGAACGCAACGCTCGACTTGATGCCTGCCGCGTTCATGCTCTCGTCGCACGTACGTGCAAGAGCCAGCAGGCCACGCACCGCGGGCTTCATTGTCTGCAGGGACGGCCCAGACACGCCGGGGATGGCGCTGGTGCGGCTGCCGTGCAGAGCACACAGCGCAGTGCGGTACAGCTCAAGCACGGATGCAATGGACGTAATGTCCACCTGCAGTGACGAAACGTGTGACTGCGACGACGGCACGAGCGATTGCGCTGGTGGGCGACCGGACATGCAGTCCACAATGGCGGTGAGGGCGCGCAGTTGCAGAGCAGCACCGCCATCCGCGACAGACGCACTGAAGAGAGCGCTGAGCTGGGGGACGAGCGAGCCCAGCGGTGTCAGCTCAAACACGACAGCGAGGTGGCGCGCGCACGCCAGCCACACGTAGCGCACAAGCACTGGCTCCACGTGCGTCGGCTGCAGGCTGCCCTGGTTCCACGCAGCACTCACCCACATTGGGGGCAGGTCGGTGGTGAAGTAGGTGGTGATGGCGTCACGGAGTGGCCCAATGCCAGAGAGGCCGGCACACAGGGCGATGCGCAGGTGCAGCACACGTGCAAGTGTGCACTGCGGGTGTTGCGCAATGTGCTCTGGCATGATCTGTGCCAGCACCTGTGCAGGCGTCAGCGCAACACCACTGCTGCCGCTGCTACCGCCTCCACCACCACCACCACCACCACCGCCACCGCCAGCAGCTGAAGACGCCGATGCAGCGGCAGTGGGACCGTCCTCTCCTGTGTCCGGGAGCTCCGGTAGCGATAACCCCGACACCTCAACCGTGGACTGGATGCACAGAACGGGGACAAGGCGACACAGCGGCACAGCTGCGAACCCAATGCCGAGGTCCACTGCTCGCTCAATGGCCTCAAGTGCAAGGTGGCACGCCATCTGGCCTGCGTGGCGGAGCAGCACAGCTGGGATACGGCCCCGCAGCACAAGCGAGCCAACATCCAAGTTGAGCCACCCGTCCAGGTCGCCAGGTGCCGGCAGCTGCTCTCTTGCGCTGGCGTGCGATGACAGCACAACGGCTGGCCCGGTGTCCTTGTTGCTCTTCTTGCCTTTGCTTCCTTTCTGTTGCTGTGCTGCCGCTGCCGCTGCCTCTTCCTCCATGTCCCCCATGGCGACCAACACGTCCCAGAAGGCCAGCACAGCCCTCCACACGCGCGCAAACGAGCGAACGGCAATTTGCTGCGTGGACGTCTGGCAGAGATAGCGCATCAGCTCCGCCCTCAGCACAATGTCGTGTGCATGCAGGCAATCCTGGAGTGCGTGTGCAGAGGGTGCTGTTGTCGCATCATCACCACCACTTGCATCCCAACTGCCACTGCCACTGCTGTCCTTTCCATCCCCACTCTTCTCCACACTACGGCTCGCTGCTGCTGTGAAATGCATTGGATCGAGCAGCGAGGCGACGGCGGTGGACGCGCGGTCCAGCACCCGCACGACATCAGATGCGGCCGTGTTGTCAAGGTGCAGACATGCTGCGAGCTCAAGCAGCGTGTCGCCGAGAGGAAGGGCGAGGGTGTTGGCCTGCTCGTAGCACGACACCGCGTGCTCATATGCTTTGATCTGTCGCAGAGGTTTGGTGGTGGGAGGGAGAGAGGAAGGAGGAGGAGGAGGAGGAGGAGGAGGAGGCGTGGTAGTAGGCAGGGATGACAACAGTGAGTGTGAGTGCACGGTAAGGTCAGGCCACGTGTCTGCGTGTAAGTGATGCCATCACTTCATCACAGTTGGTTGACACCTTCAGATCACACACCCGTCATGACAATGAGACGCCAGCCCCCTTGTTGTACTGCACCTTTTGTGTGTTGTCGCGTTCGATACGAGCAAACGCGCGCCAGACGCCCGCCTGTGCTGCTGGCGGCTGCTTCGACAGCTTGTACATGTCCCGCTCAATGTCTTGCCCTGGCAGTGTAGTGAGAGGGGAGGGGACGAGGGGAGACGAGGGGGTGACGGGAATGATGGTGAGTTAACACGCGGTTGATAGCGGTCTTGCAACTGCAGGTGGCCATTGGTCCAAGCACGCATGGAACCAGAAATCAAGATGCACACCCCGAAACAGAAAAATTACACAAAGAACACACACACACACACACACACACACACACACACACACAAAACAGACACAGACACACACGGACACACACGGATACGCACACACGCACAAACGTACACACGCACGGATACACAAACGCACACACAAGCGTACACACAAACGCACCGAGCTTGACTTTGCACACGAGTCGATGCACAGTGATGCTGGCTCGAAGGTGCTTTGGCAAATGGCGCTGTTGTGAAGTGGTGTGGACACGTGTGTTTTGACAGGGAGCAGGAATGGAGTCACAGAAGGTTAGAAAGAAGCATAACCACTCGCTGTCACAAGGTGGACGCGAAACTGTGAACAGGTTAATTCCGATATCACCAGCACATAACACGCTGTCACTTGTTCCATCGTCACTGTCACCCTTGCAGGACATCACCACCACCACCATCGCACCACGTGCCCATACAGCTCACCATGCCTGCGTCGGCTGCATCCAGCGCGTTGTGCCATTCGTTTGCATCTCCGTATGCTTTGATGGCGAGCTCGTACAGGGATGCGCGCATGCCATCGCTGCTCGCGTCAATGGCGCTGAGCACTTCGGGTTTCAGGCGAGACACCTGCATGCATGGACGTGTCGTCGTTGACGGTGTTGTTGTTGACGGTGTTGTTGTCGACGTTGGTCATAGTGGTGGTGGTGATCACACCGGTAAGGATCGCTGCAGGAAAACATGAACACCTCCACACACACACGCACACACACACACATCTCCACATACATACACTTCCACACACACACACACAACTCCTCTACATTGCATGCGACTGACCGTGCTGAGGGCTGCGGCGAGCTGCTTCACCATGATGGCGCGACCCTGGTCGTCTCGCACAAACACCGAGCACGCGTCCCACAGCATCTGCAGTGCCTCTGTCACCGCCGCGGGCAGGGCTGACTTGACAGCGAGTGTTGTTGCCTCCACGGCATGCGCCAGCACGCCGCACAGTGCATTGCGGTGTGCTGTTCCGTGGATGGTTGAGTCGTCACTGCTGCCAATGGTGAACTTGGCGGCTGTCTCTGCAGCCTCCACACGCGCGAGCACCACGTGTGTTTGTGCAAGGAGCGCGCGCACGTGTGTTTGGTCTGCATGGCATGCAGGCAGCGTGGCGTTGCATGGAGGGACATAGGTAAAGGGCAATCGCGGGCTGGTGAGAGACGATGAACAATTGATGGGGTGAGTGCAAACAAATCAAGGACCATCACACGCTTTTCTGAATTGAACGAGCCCACTTAGAATCACGCATGCACACACACACACACACACACACACACACGCACACACACACACACACGCACACACACACACACACACACACACACACACACACACCTTTTTGCTTCTTTGCCTTGTTGCCCATACTGTTGATGATCGCAAGGACATATGAACACGCTGTCTTGGCTTGCGCATGCATCTTATTTGCGTCGCACACGCGCGCAACACTGCACCACAGCGATGCGCGCAGCTGCTTGCTGAACGTTGCCGGTCGCCGCGCTGTTGCCGTGGCCTGAAGAAGAAGCCGAATCGTCTTCTCCACCAACTCTTCACTCATTTCCTCTGCACGTGTGCATCAGTGTGAGTGTGAGTGTGAGCGTGCGTGTGAGTATGTGCATGTGCATGTGCGTGTGCGTGTGCGTGTGCGTGAGTAAGAGGGTGTAAGTGTGAGTGTGGGTGCGCGTGTGTTTGCGAGTAAGGTCGTGTGCACCAGCGTGCTGGCGTCAGACAGCACACACATGCGTGTGTAACGGTGCTGTTGAGGCCAACATTACATCACACCGTCACGTCATCAAACCATGAACACGTGTCAGGAGCAAGCTCTTCTCCCCACTCAAAAAAAATCTCCTCCTCCCGACACTTTGTTCCGCTCAATCATTGCGACCAACCTGGCGGTGTTGTCTCAAAACTGCGCACAGCAGCAAGGCAGCGCACATGCGCATCTGACCAATGAACATGTGTGTGCGTGCATGTGTGTGTGAGTGTGCAAGCGCGCATGTC